GAAGGGTAGTAAGGAAAAACCTTATTAAATGCTAGTTCTAACGCTAGTTCTAGCGCTAGTTCTAGCGCTAGTTCTAGCGCTAATTCTAGCGCCAATTCTAGCGCTAATTCTAGCGCTAATTCTAGCGCTAATTCTAGTATATGCTATAGCTAGTTTATTATACGCTAGCTCTCGTAGAAGCAGCTTAACTAGGCATTATACGCTAGCTCTTATAGAAGCAGCTTAACTAGCACTCGTAGAAGCAGCTTAATAGCGCTCGCTAGTACTTATAGAAGCAGCTTAACTACGATACCTACGACTATTTACAGGCCCTTATCGGAAAGCACGTTAATAGCTAAGGCAATGTACTCGACTACGAGGGCAAACCTACTTAGCGAGCTTATAAGGATATAATAGAAGGGTAGTAAGGAGCTAGTATAGCGAGCCTATAAGGATATAATAGAAGGATAGCGAGGAGCTAGTACTAAGTATATACTTAGCGAGCTTATAATAATATAGTAGAAGTAGTAAGGAAGGACCTTATTAATGCTATTTCTAGCGCTATTTCCTCTACCGATTCCTACGACGGCTCGGAGTATCGAATATAGTATTACTATTACTAAAATCCGAGTCGTAGTACTGCTCCTACTCTTCTAGTATAGTATACTACTCGAAATGTGCCTCCGTCGCTTAAAGATCTATCTGCCGCCGAGATAGTATACGGCTACGGCCTAATAAACGAGGAGAAGATATAACTGCTACATCCTACGTAGCGCGTGCCTATATAGCAGTTATACGGTCTAAACTAAAGGTATTAGGGTCTTCGGGATCGCCGGGTCGACGGCGGCCTATTAGAGTTAGTATACTATTATCTATTCTACGACGAGGAGCGGCACGATAACTTAGTATTCGAGTTTGCGTAAGCGTACTAGCTGTACGCTTCTTACTAGGACCTAGACGTAGTCGTAGAGCGGCAGCTGCGATAGTAGCGTACGAAGGCGGTCTAGCAACGCCTTTAGCTAATAGTATATTAGCTAATAGTATATCGGATTCAGTCGGCATACCTAGTATATCTAATCTATCCCTACGTATTGTAGACACGGCATTTCGAGATAGTTTACTACTCTTCTAGGCTACATCCTTTCGAAGCGTAAGAGCTGCTACTAAAGAAGTATTCTAGTGCTTCTTAGCCTAGGCGTAGCGCGCGCTCGTAGTATTAGGCGCCTGTTTAATGTCTATACGGCTCGTAGTTGTAGTCGCACTACTAGCCTTCTTTATCTAACGATCCTTACGAGCCTTCGTAGCCCTAGCCTTATACTATTAGCGCTAGGTATATACCTCGTCTACTATCTAGTTTAATACTACAATTAATTCTTCTAGAGGAATGTTAGCTTCGTTAGTACTATCCTCCTCGTACTAGGCTATAAATGTAGGAGACCTATGCTTTACTACCTCCTTATCGATCTTACTATATTCCTCCTTAGTAGCTAGCTTAAAGACCTTACAAAGGTTCTATAGCTTCTAATTAGGTACTATTACATTAGCCGGTATATCGAATACGCGGCTCTAGTAGCCGTCCCTAAAGATGCGATTAGCTTAATTAGATACCTACTCGGCGATTAATAGCAATGCGAAGGCCTATAGTAGACCTTGTCGTAGTCGTTTTATTGTAGGAGGTACTAGCGGAGGCTCCTCCTACTCTAACTTCTTCTTAAGTAGCCCTAGGTTATATATACTATAGTATAGGTTGGTGCCTTAGACCTTACAATTATCCGGAATGTCGTATATATACTTATCTTCTCTAAGGTATTCGTTTCTAACCGCTCTTATATATTAGCGCTAGCTCTTTATAGGATAATAGCGTACATTTACTAACCGTATAAATAATTCTAGCGCCTTCTCGCGCAAATCTATCTTAGTCTTCGTCTAGTTGTTCTAATTAACGTTGTCTACGATTATATCGTCGACTATATTATAGAACTTATTCTCTATATTATCGTAAGAGCGAGTACGAGGCGGAGGGCGGTCTATACTAGCGTTAAGTGTATCTACTCTATCGAAAGCCGACTCGTCGATATCGTCGAAGTTATCTCCTAGGATAATCTCTAGCTCTAGATTAGAGACTATGTTCGTACGAAGCTAACTTAGTCGCGCTAGAGTATATATAGAACGGTATAGTGCGATAGTCGTAGTCGCCGTTATAGATAATAGGTTACGTAGGATTATCGACTAATAGTTCGACTTCTTAGATATACGTCCTTAACCGTCGTTAAACTAATAAGGAAGGAATAGTACTACTATCGATAAGAGGCCTCGAAGTCGACTAGCACGACTAAGCTTCTAATATAGGTCGAGGAGATCTTTAGTAATTAGTAGGCCTTACTAGCTAACGATCTTAATATTAGGAATATTAGTACCTATCGCAGTAGCTAGTATGCCCTATATAATCCGGATCTCGGAATCCTCCTTCTTAAACTCCTTATACCGTAGGTTCTTGTCGACCGTAGCAATATATATAGTATAGAAAGAACAGACCTTACGAACGTCGATAGTCCGCTTTCCTTCGGCAACTATTAGTATACCTGTCTAAGTATACTTCCTATCCGCAAGGTCTAGGTTAGTAATATTAGTAGTAAGCTAGATTAACTATGTTCGTATAAGCAAACAGCCCCTATCGATACTAGCTCGGCTATTAACAAAGATTAAAGACTTCTAGATTAGCTTAGGAGTACCTAGCCTATTCTTATTAACGGTAAAGCGGAGGACAAAATACTAATAATCGAATGAGCTTAGCTTGCCCTTCGGTATCGTCTAAAAGAGGTACGTCGTATCTAGGCGATCGATGCTAGTATACTAGATAATACTCTAGAGGGCCTTATCTCCGAGCTTCCGTATAGTACGGCTTTCGATTAGATAGTCGATTATATTACGCGGCATCGTTGCTAAGGCAGCTACCGCGATAGTATTAATATTAAGGATATCCCGAAGTAATACTATCTTGCTATATACTAGCCGGAAGCTTAACTAGCGATAATAGAGATAAGCCTCGTCGAGTGCCTACAAACCGATCCGAGGAGTAAGGACCTAGAGTACCTCTTAGAACTCTAGTATAATAGCCTACTCTAGGCTATATAGGATATATTAATACTTTCCTGCCTTTAACTCGTCGATTATATATAGATTCTTTCTCTTACTCTCTGCTATAATAAGACAGATATTAAATAGGCCTTATTCTATAGCTAATAACTAACGGGCAGCTTCTTCGAGGTCCTTAGATTATTCGTCGCTAATACGGGTTAAAGATAGGCTTTGCTATACGATTATACTAGTTAGAAGGGCAAAAGCCTAATAGATTAGTGTCTTTCTAGAACTAGTCGTAGCGACTATAAAGATATCCTATTAGCTAAAGACTAGCGACTATAGGACATCTACCTAGAACGGGCTTAGCTTAGTATCGCGAGTTAGATATAGCAACTTTAGGACCTTACGAAGACCGGCCTAGATTATACGCTCTTAGAGAAACTACGCCTCGTTATATATTACGATATCCTATATAAGGCGCTAGACCTCCTCGAGAAGATACTCCGGGACTATATTAACGCGGTCTTCGAAGTACTATTACTACGTCGCGAGGCTAGCGTTAGACGCTAGCAGTTCTAGATAGCGAGCAACCTCGAATACTAGTTAGTATCGGTTAATAGCGACTCGAGTACGTCTCGGTAGTACGTCTATATCGTAATAGCCTAGCTCCTAGTATAATGCTATAGTAGTAGCGGCGGCGGCGGTAGTAGCCTTCTCTACTTTCTTCTATACCGCCTTCGCCTTCTAGCGGTCTTTCTTTAACAAGTTAGAGTACTAGTCTAGTATAGTATAGCGTACTATATATATAGAAGAGATAGACTAGATAGAAGAGGAAGAAGAGGAAGAACTAAGTAGACGCGTCGCGAAGGCGCGAGAGCGCGGCTTTGCCGCAGACGGTTAGTGCCGGACCTACTTTTTTGTTTAAGTAAAGGAACTTAATTAAGTAGCAAGGCGATAATAATAGCGATAACTACGTATATACGATTCCGTAATATTAATCGAACTACCTTTGTATCTACGCGCTATATATATATATAGAATACACGTTTTACGCGATAGTTTAAGGTATTATAGAAGACATTTACTATTATCGATATAGTATAATATAGTAGTACTATATATATCTAAGACTAACACTAATCGATATAGAATGCTTTATAATGCTAATCTACCCTATAATAGGTTAATATAGTGTTACTATATCGTAGAATACGCGATTAAATGCTAGATATTCCCTTACTAAAAGCTAGCTAAGGCCGACTAAAAGTAGCTTCGGCGTATCGACAATATCTTAATACTATAACGTCGTATAATAGTTATTACTATATATTTTCTGCTTAGAATTATATAATCTATCGAATAGTGTATGTCTTAGAGGTGTATTAGCTAAAACGACATCGGGTGTTTTTAGGCCGGCTTAAGGAGCGTTTTCGTATATAGAATACCTTAATCCTACGATACTATATAGTACTACGCTCTATACTAAATATACTTAAAATTGTACGCTCTTTAAGATAAGAGTAATATTGTACGTAGGTTATACAATGCGATATATCGAGTTAGTCGACCGGGCTCTCGATAAGACAGGCTTCCTAAGGCAACTAATTTGCGATTAATATAGCTTAACGCTATAACGTCGTATTTATAAGATTTTTATATTAAAGGGCTTCCCTTTTTATTCCCTGTCGATCGCACCAACTAGATTTTTATAATATATGCTGCGCATAATGTTCACATTAAGATAACCGAAAAGTAGGTAGGCTCTAACATTCTGGCTTCAGACCCTACAAGCAGGATTTTGCCTCCGGCGGTCTTGGCAGGGTCTGAGTGGAGACAGGGAGCGCCTGAGAGGAGGTAGTTTCAGCCGAGACTTCCAAGAAGCTCGCCATTCTCGCCTGTGCCTCCAAAAACACGCGCTTACACAAGTGCCCTGGATAGTAATGTTGTCAAGACGAATGGTGAGATGATGATTGCGATCACGTGTCGGACCGGGTGCTAACATCTTCAGCTCTCCCGTGAGGAGGAGGCTGAGATAGGAGAGGAGAAAGAAGTGCGCAAAGAAGACCAGGACAAGATCAACCGCTTCAGTCGCCTTCACTCCCGCGAAAAGGGTTTAGAAGAGGAATTGAAAATCAAGCAGGTATGGCTTCTGGTTCCATAATGGCGAGGGTCTTGTTGACATAAAGCAGAAAGACAAGGAGGATTTAGAAGAGATTTCTTCTGAGCTCGAGCTGGCAGACGAGGACGACAAGGTCCCGTAAGCAATTCAGTGTAAGCGAGTATTTTATAAGGTATGGTATGCTGACATCTAGCAGCTACAAAATCGGCGACTCTTTCTTCAACCTGCCAGTGCCGGAGGTTCAGGAGCTGTTGTTAGCCGCTGTGGAACGAATCGACGGCGAAGTGTCAACCCTCGAAGAGAAGCTGGCCGAGTATCGCGAAGAGATGCAATCACTCAAAAGCAGCCTATATGCTCGCTTCGGTAAGAGCATCAATCTGGAAGTCTGAGTAGCTCAATGGCTTCAGCCTCCGTGTCGGAAATATTGTGATGAAATATTCACTACTCGCAACGGCATTTCGAACAATCCTGCCAGCAGAGGGCCACCGCTATAAAGCGTTGCTAAGAGCCTCGCATACGCCAAGCAGCGACATTTTCTCTGTGCAACATCAACGAAACAGAAATGCGCTGCGGAAAATGATCGGCGGCAGGCCAACCATTATTTGCTGTCTCCGCTACTGAAAACGCGGGACGGCCAGTGCAACCCGAGGTCAAGCAAGGCCATTCACCCACTTGCTGAGGGAACTGTGCCGACATCCGTGCTGCTCTGCAAATGCAAAACAGATCAAGCAGCCATCATGCGCTCGGTGGCGGTTGAAAGCTACCGTTAGCTCACAAGAGAAGTAGAACATTCTTTCCCATCTACAACCATCGCAATGCAATCTCATCGGGCAAAACAATAGCAATCATCTCAGTCGCTCCATGTTTTCATACATCCTTCCAGCAGCCGTGCCGCATTTGCATATCGCCAGTCACTGCAAAGATGAGTGCCAAGCAAGAAATTGCTGCGCCTTCTTCGGCGGCGGCAGAAGTTAGAATCGGTACCCAGAAGCCAACAGGCACTTTCACTGGTGACAACACAGACAGTGGAGCCACCGACACCAGATGTAGAAGTCACGCTGGAAACGACGAGGATGAAAAGCTTACGGATCCAGAGGAGAAGATCTTCGACTCTCGACAATCATCGAAAACACCGTCCCGCCGCCCGAGCGAGCAGCATGATGGCAATGAGGAAAGGACAATCGTCTCCTTCACACGCGGTGACCCCGAGAACCCATACAACTGGAGTCTGGCGAAGAAGCTGTATGTCACCTGGACATGTGTGGCTCTGGTGATGAACTCGACCATAGGAAGCTCGCTACCATCTGGAGCGACGCAGGAACTCGCAGCATATTTCAACATCACGAATCAATCACTGCTGGTACTGCCAGTGTCAATATACCTCATCGGATACGTCTTGGGACCTTTGGTGTTTGCTCCCATGAGTGAAAGTTTCGGGCGCAAATGGGTAGTCATTGGCACGTTTGTTATCTTTACAGCCTTTCAAATTGGCTGTGCTCTGGCGCCGACGTTCTCGGGATTCATTGTCATGAGACTGTTGGTTGGGATCGGGAGCAGCACGCCCATCTCTGTGATCGGTGGGGTCTACGCAGACATCTACGATTCCCCCAAGTCACGGGGCAGGGCAGTTACGCTGTTCATGGCAGCGACAACTTGGGGACCTTTGGCAGGACCCATAATATCTGGATTCGTTTCCACTGTATCCTGGCGATGGACGTTCTGGATTGGTGCCATTATTGCTGGCGTCACATGGCCTTTCGTCATCTTCATGCCTGAAACTTATGGGCCGATATTGCTCAAGAGGAAAGCCGAGAGGCTGCGTCAGGAGACTGGCAAGGAAAACATCGTGGCCCCCATCGAACTGGACGAACAGAGTTGGGGCGAGTTCTGCACGATCACTCTGACCAGGCCGATTCGCATGTTCCTGTTTGAATGGATTGTCTTGTTTAGCTGTCTATATCTGTCGGTGGCTTACGCCATTTTCTACAGTAAGTCTTTCGATACATACCATCACGCACGAATGCTGACTTGCCGGCAGTCTACTTCCAAGCGTATCCGATTATTTTCCAAGGTACTTACGGCTTCAACGCTGGAGAAGAAGGGTTGGCATTCTTGCCAATCGGCGTTGGATCGATGATTGCAGGAGGTATATACCTATGGTGGGAACATTACCTCGCCAAGGCCAAAGCCAGAACTCCTCCTCCAATATGGTCGCAGCAAGAAGAGTTTGTGCGACTGCCCGTCGCACTTCTCGGAGCTCCATTGTTCGCCATCGCTTTGTTCTGGCTTGGGTGGACTGCGAGGCCAAGTATGCACTGGATCGTACCGACATTGTCCGCGCTTCCCTTCGGAATCGGCTTCTTACTGATATTTATGGCGTTGATCAATTACATTGTGGATGCATACGAAATCTTTGCGGCAAGTGCCATGGGCGCTGCGAGTTGTTCGCGAAGCATATTTGGAGTGGTGATCCCTTTCGCAGCACGCCCGATGTATAGGAGATTAGGGATCGCGTGGTCCTGCACGCTCCTTGGCTTCCTCAGCGTGGTCATGGGCATTGTGCCGTTCGTTTTCATCAAGTATGGAGCTAAGATTCGCGCCAATAGCAAGTGGTGTCAAGAACTCAAACGTCAACAGGCTGAGAAGGAAGAGAAGCAGCGAGAGCTGGAGGAACGTGATACTGCGACTCAGCATTTGAATAGTGAAAGTCCCGAGATGCGGGTGTAGTACCAACCAGCGAGGCGTTCGGCGTGAGATAGACTTCGGGTGTGGATGAACGAGCGTCTGAACTGATTCATGCCGAAGTAGAATGAACCGTGCGGTGCATGGCGGGATAGCTGCTACGGGCAATTATTGCAATATTATTGCTTATACATGCAGGCCATTGACGAGTGTAGTGGGAAAGACTGACTCGCTTGGTCTTCCACGCACCAATCATTGATTTTTTCTGCACCTGCAATGCTCAGGAGGGAACAATGACAGACGCACTGGACTCCGCTCATGTCGTGCAGCGCTACTGATGAGGTCGTGGAGATTTCGTTGCGAGGGCTGACGTTATTCGCTGAACTTCGTCTTTTCGGCCAAGCTCATTTTTGGTGATTTCCACTCAGGGATAAGCGAAGTGCGATTCTAGTGTATCGGCTGCTTGGCGCTCGCATGTGATGAGTGGCGCTTGCCGATATATCCCCGATGATGCAGACCAGAAGCGGTGCGGTGCGGCTTGAAAGTTACCAAATATACAGAGGCAAATGTGGACCCTTATTATTCTATGTAGAGGAAGGTTGCTGAGGCCCTTGTCACTACTACCGGACGTCGGACGAAGGGTCGCATATTATTATACCGGCTGTGCAATAACTCTGACTTGCGGCGCTCGTGGCGTCCGTCATGCTAGGATCGAGCTGTTGACTATAGTCGCTGTTGGTGCAAAAGAATGATGATTTATCGGCTGAGCAGCGCATAGAATACCGTCCAGGGTCGTGTACCTTGCAGAGAGGTGCAGCACGCAATCACTGTCAGGCCAGTGGTGGACCCTAATCGCTGCAAGGTTGAAGGAGCTGAGGAGGGAATAGTGCGATCGCGGGCATCGATGATGCGATATAGCGATGTGAAATGTGGCCCGCCGTGCTCAGGCCAGGCCAGGACCGACATTCCCGCCGTTTACCGTTGCGGTACTGTAGTTCTAGGGCAAGGATATCTCCGCGCCAACCTGCCAGTGCCAGTGCCAGTGCCAGTGCCAGTGCCAGTGCCATCAAATGTACTGCACTGCACTGCACTGCACTGCACACCGAGGAATGAATGCCATGCTCAGTCGTACCTTGCTCGGCTCCGTACAGTAAGTTGTAACCGTGCGTCCAGGAATCTACCAATGAATTCCCTGTAGAGTACCTGCAGCCTTGGACTTGGAACAACTGCGACGTGCTACTAGTTGCGAGGGCCAGCCTACCGCCTACCGCCTACCGCCTACCGCCTACCGCCTACCGCACTTCCACCTGAGTCTCGCACCGCTCGGTCTCCCGCCCGCCGAGAAAGGATTGTAATCTCGTGTGCTGCACTGAAGAATCCTCTCCTCCGCTCTGCCCTGCCCTGCCTGCCTGCCCGACCCTACTACTGTATCGTAGAAGACGTTGTCCACATCGATCGCCCTCCGCTGCCTGTTGCCTGCACGAACGCACGTAAACCCACCCACCACCGGCCGCCGTCTCACCAACCCTCCGTCCTCCACGCCCGCCCACATCTGCAGCCACATGATGAAGAATTAAGACTTGCATAGGGTGGAGGTGCCGGCGAGGGCGAGTACACTTGCTCAAGCCATAAGAACAAGAGCTGCCAGGGCCTCCGCTGCGTGCAGAGGGCCATGGAGTTCGACCACACATACAATGGGTAGGACGGGCCTGAACGAGCCCCATATCGCTGCTCCCATGCTCACCATCACTTCAGAACTGTCGACTGGAACTTTCTCAGTCCCACTGCGACGCCCACCAGCGCCTCGTACAACCAAAATGTCTTTCAAACCCCGAAAACCATGTCTTTTGAGTCCCACTTCCACGACGCTTTCACCACGCCGCACATGTCCTCATCTACGCCTCGCCAGCCCGATGCTGCTACAATGACGCCCATTCAGGCCCAGCAGTCGACCTCTGACATGTTGCGTGCCAACTACTACGCACATATGCAGGCCTCCGCTGCTGCTGCTCCAACCAGCCAAGCCATGCCTCCGCCAAGCCAAACGGCTTATCAGCCTCAACTGACCAGCCCGTTATATGCCAACGCTCCGGTCATGTCGGCCCATCCTGGACAGATGATGACCTACGATACCACTCAGATGCAGACGCCGCCGCCTACAAGGGGAACTCATGTCAAAAGGCCACAGCCACAGCACATTGCCTTCGGCACTCCGTCGACCATAGCGTCAAGGAGAATTGCGACACCGCAGCAGCCATCACTGAACGACGCCAATACTCCAGCACATATGCCTGCAGGCATGCACTTTCCGCAACTACAATTCTCGCCGGACGTCTACCAGTTCGGCAATTTTGGCCCTGCATCGGCTCCTGTCTATTCTCAGACCCAACTTCTGTGGGATCAGACTGCAAGCCCTCAGCTGTACCCGCAGCAGCAACCTCCAAGACCTACGCTAGACGATCCTTTCGCTCCAGCCTCTTCACCACACATGCAGTGGCCTGATGATACCACTATCCCACCAAACATGCAAAGTAGCGCCCCGCCTGTCAGCTTCAACACCCCTGCAATGACCAGCTTTCCCGTGCAGGCAGCAGTGCAGCGCCCGTCATCCGCAGTGCAACTTGCTTCGGCTCCAGCGCCGCCCATGACTACTGTCAGCGTCGATCCATCGCTGGTGTACAGTTCGCCGATTCGTCCTGTCCAGCCTCAACAACAACCAGCTGCAGTCGAGCAGACACACAAGCCACGCAACATCCCGAAGAAAAGTGCCACGAATCGTAAGGACAGCGGCACTGTTCAGCAGAAACCACCAAAACCAGAACACAAGCGTTCCGAGACGGTAGCTACGGCCGACTCAATCTCTACCGTTACCTCGGCCTCATCGCAGGCGTCGTCTTCGACTGCGCCCAGACCTCCACTCCACAGAAGCAATACTACAGGTACAACGAGACCTCAGCTTGCGCAATCTGCGCTCAGCCGAGATACGCCTATCAAGAGCAGCAATATCAATCAGGTTCCACGAACGGCGTCCCCCCTCAAGCGGATTGGAGTGAGCAAATCCCTGCTGGGGTCAATTTCCGAATTTCGGTCGACCACCCATGAAGCCAGGAACTCCCGACCGAAAGTTGTGCTGACCGTCGACGAAAATGGTCGAGCAAGAGTAGTACGTCCAGATGCTCCCCACCCCGAAGACAGCCCAACGCAGGCAATTCGATCGCGGTATCCTGGCTTGTTTGATAGCGATTCCAGCGACGCCGAGTCAGAGGAAGCGAAAGAGACACCAAGCAGAGCATCCTCGTTTAGCTTCGCGCGCGGTGAAGAAAGATATCCGAAAGCGGCGAAGCTCGATCCACCGATTGAGAACCTCGACGCCCTCACTATACCTAGATCTTCTTCGTCCACTTCGATGAAGGTCACGCCCTCGAGGGCTGCTATAGCCGCAGCTGCGCAGCTACGACGAAGCGGAAGCCTCCGGAAGAAGACACCTAGTCGCAGTGGATCTAGACGTGATGCAAGTTCTGCTGCTGCATCCATCGATACAGCCCCAATGGACGTCGCACAAGACCGTCGTCAGTCAATCATTGGGTCCGAAGACTTCACTAGAGGTCTAGATCTCTCTTCCACTGGCGACCTGGATGCGCACAATCGTCGATGGAGCATTATGTCGATGGAGCAGCACCAAAGTATCTCGCCGACCCATCCGCAGGGCCCGCAATTTTTTGAGATGCACTTCCCTCAGCCCTCACAGCGTCGACAGGTCCGGTGCACCTGCGGAGTCAACAGCGACCGTGGTCAGATGGTTCAATGCAAAAGTTGCACGCAATGGTGTCACGCAACTTGTATCGGAGTGGATCCAACAGCTGGTCCCATCACTTGCTTTCTCTGCACGAAACCCACCACGCGCCTCTCAATTGGAACCGCTACCAATCGCAAGCGATCCTAAATGCATCCAGATGATTCACGTTTTTGAAAACCATCACGTTTTGAAAACCATCATGATCTGGATCGATGTCTGTTTTCATAAATGTACTTCTAGCGTTCAAGCGAATGTTTCGGCGGTATGTCTCACGACATAATTAGCAACTTCTTTACCAGAACTACACGATACCGAGCACAGGATAGTCCAAAGAGCGGAGCAGATTTACGAACAAAGCAAAGATGAAAGAACGCAATGGAGCGAGACAAGGGGCTTTGTCGCCACATAATGGATTGTATTCAGAGACAACGCCAAATATCATATACCCATCGTCTCACACAGTCACAGGAATCTCACTTCACAATTCTTCACTCGACACAGGACTGCAGGCAGTCCTTGAAATCTTATTCGAAGTTGGACTCCAACTCTCACCTCACGGAGCAATCTAACAAAATGCATTTACCAGGATCCAGCCCAGCACCTCCCGTGCGGCGACATCACCGCGAGAACTTCCCTCCCAGGGAATACACTGACCTGTCGCCTGACGATATCAAGAAATTTGCACCACTATTCAAAGTATCACCTCAGCCAGACAGTCCATCACACGATGCCTACGAGGCTGAGCTAAAAGAGAACATCGGCGCCCTTCCACCACATCTCAGATGTAAGTTGCCAAAGCTCTCTACTTTCTGCTCTCGCCACCACAAGATCAACCCTCTACCCATCATCAGCATTCTGGAAGTTGTCAAGGATGAAGTTTATCCGCCCAGTCTCGCCCACAAACACGAGCCTCTAGGGGACCAATACTTCATCCTTCAAGAGGTCAATGCCATCTGGACCAAGCCTGGCGACTTCCGCAAGACCTTTCTTCGAGATCCTACTGACTTCACCTACCATGAGCACAAGTGCTCAGCTTGCAAGCTTGCTCTCGTCGCCAAAGATGTCCCAACACTGGTAGCTCTCGGCGGTCTAATCATTTCACGAATCAAGCCTAAGAACTGGCGAAAAAGCGTTCGGATTCTGTTCATGGAAGAATGGATCAAAGCCTCCGTGGAGTTTTCTTACCAAGAGCAAGCTCCCGTCACAGCCATGTTCGATCTCGGCGTCGCTTTGAACCAACTCTCGCCCGAACGCAACATCGAAGACGAGCGATCCAAGATGATCGAGGGCTTCGTTGCTCAGACTTCTTATGGCAAGCAGGAGCAGGAGCACGGCAGACAAGACAGTAGGACTCGCATGATCGAAGAATTCGTCAATCAGACTAAAATGGGCGTTGACTTTGCCACAGTTCCTTACGTCCCTCCGGACCGAGATCATGCGAAATTCTCTACGAATCCTTTCACAGATGAGTATGAACACGATCGGACACCCACCACTGCGGGATTTCGGACTCAGTCGGGAGAAGAAGCGCCTTTCACTCCCGCTCAAGGCAAAGGTAAGGCTCCTGCCCCGGCCATTCCGAACCAGAAGCCTCGAGTAGCTTCTTCAGAAACCGCCACGAGATTCCAGTCATTGGCAGAAAACCACCTTGTCTCTCCCTTCGACTTTCACGAGCCCGAGCAAGAGTACCTCTCGCAACGCGCTTCACTGCTAAGTCTCCAGAGCGAGCAAGTTCCAGTTCCAACGCCTAGGGCGCCATGTGGACGTCGGATTATTGCTTCATCCGTCTATTCTAGACCGCAGGGTGATGAGGATTGGGATTCTGGGAGTAGAGTCGAGAGTCGTATTATTGATTCTTATCTTCAGAGAGGGAGGCATGGTGGGGGGGGGGGGGGGTTTTTTTGCCCTCTCTACTGCTGGATCCCTGGACCCCCGATGAAGGAAAGGAATGATGAGAATTTGGGATGGATGGGTTGAAATTTGAAATATTTACATACCCCCTTTTGCAATTGAATCGAATTGCGGGTCCCGGAATTTTCCACGGGTTCTCTACCCATTCCCTTGCTTTGACCCGGGGGAAACGAAATCCCAAAAAGGGTTACTTCTTCTTCCAAGAAGACCTGAGTCCCCTAACCACAACCGGTAAACCGGTGGAATCCTTGCGGACTGGCCCAAGAAGCCAACCCCCTACAATCCGAAAAAAAATTTGACGAGCACTGGAAAGGGGCCTTTCCCCAAGTAGTAAAGGCGGGAAAATTTTTGCGAAAAAAAAAAGAAACGTACAGGTGTGTAAATGGTGCCGTTCGGAACTCGGTGGCGTTCCAATCTCCACGATGGGCCTA